GTCATCGGTGCTACCAACCGTCCCGAGCAATTGGACGCTGCCCTGGTCCGCCCTGGTCGTCTTGATACTCTGGTCTACGTGCCTCTGCCTGACCAGGCGTCTCGCGAGTCTATCCTCAAGGCCCAGCTGCGCAAGACCCCCGTCGCTTCCGATGTCGACATGGCCTTCATCGCCAGCAAGACTCACGGCTTCTCCGGTGCCGATCTTGGCTTCGTGACCCAGCGTGCCGTCAAGCTCGCCATCAAGGAGGCCATCTCTCTTGACATTGAACGTACTCGTGCCCGCGAGGCCGCTGGTGAGGATGTCACCATGGGAGAGGGTGAGGCTGAAGAGGAGGACCTCGTTCCCGAGCTGACTCGCGCCCATTTCGAGGAGGCCATGAAGACCGCTCGTCGCTCTGTCAGCGATGTCGAGATCCGGCGCTACGAGGCCTTTGCCCAGAGTCTGAAGAACTCTGGTGGCAGCAGCTTCTTCCGCTTCCCGTCCGCCGGTGAGGTTCAGAACAACGACACCTTCGGTGAAGCCGGTAACGATGACAGCCTCTACGACTAAATGGATCCTCGATATTCTCCACTCAAGTTGACGATTTGCGTTTTTCTTTTTCCTCTTTTCCCTAATGGGCCGATCAGAACGTTCTTGGCCGGGGTCTATTTCCTCTGCTAGAGATTCATCATGGGTAGATCGTGCTTTCTTGATGGCTAGGGTGATTTGCTTTTGAGAAGCGGACTGCCAGGTCCTTTTCTTTGATGTTTTTATTTTCGCCCTTGCCCTCATACAGTGTGCCATAATACTCATACAAGAGAAATCATTATGTTGACCAGTTTTTGCGCCTTGTAGATATTCATCGTAAATCCTCCAACGATCCTATCGTAACATGAAGTGGCAGTCGTGCTTATATCAGGCGTCATACTACTTCCATATCGACGCTTAGCAATGCCAATACTAAGGCCCAAAGGCCCGGACAAGGATAAGGCCTTAAGCTTATTGAAGTTCCTATTACTTGCACAACCAGCTAGGCCTAAAGGATAGCTTCTGCTCTACATATTCTGTACAGTAATATAATAAGAATCTTGTCGATCATAACCGAAAGACAGCCCCCTTCATATCTGCCGTTCCGTCATTATCTGTTTCCTCCAGTCATATCTCAGCAACAGATATCTAAGCATGAGAAGTATGAAACGAAACTTCCTTCCGAGGCGATCTCCTCCATGACCAGTGCCTCTCCTATGCCTACTGGAAATACTCGATCTTGTATGGAATGTAATATTCATTAAGTCTATAAAATATGCCATAAGCTCTAGGTCATGAGATAAATGCAGCGCCAAAAAGCAAAAGAAACAAAATCAACGCAAACTATGCAAAAGAGACTCTTTTAGAACTTGGGGGTGAACCGACTCATAGCGCGAATTCTAGCACCATAGAAGAAGAACAGGATAGGAATGGGAATCATCGCAATAGTGATGAAACCCAACACGCTAGATGCCCAGTCCACACCGAGGTTGGTGTACATTTGCGTCGCAAAGAGCGGGAAAGCACCACCGAGCGCAGAACGAATGAGGGTATTCGCGGCGATAGCAGAGTTGGCAAACATCATGTACACGTCAATGATGTAGTTGAGGCCCTGCATGAAGATCACCAGGATACCCAGGCCGATGGGCACGCCGGCGATAACCTGGGGTGCCCAGTGGATGTCAGGACTGGACGTCCAGCCGAACCAGAAGAGGCCGATGGGCAACAGGACGGAGGCGACCATCATTGGGATGAGACGTTCTTCGGGGACGACCTTGCCGTGCTTGGCAAGTTTGCGGGCGAAGCGGGTCTTGGTGGTGTAGATGATGAGGGCGGCGCCGAGGAGGACACCGATCATGATTCCGATGAAGGGGAGGGCGGCGACGCCGAGGCTCTTCCAGCCGCGGACTTCGTTGAAGGAGATTGGGTAGGCTTCGAAGAAGAGGTAGAGGATGCCGTAGACGAGGGCGAGGTAGATGGTCATGCAGATGAGGATGGGTTCCATGACGAGCATCTGGAGCGGGCGAAGCAGGTACTTTTGGCCGATCTCGGCGATGGTGGGTTCGTGTTCGTCCAGGAAAGAGTGGAGGGCCCAGTTCTTGGTTTCGCGGCGGAGACGAGCTGCCCGTTGCTGCAGGATCTTGGGAGCGTACGTCTCTGGGACGACGATGAGGGCGAGGAGACCGAAGAAGGAAGATGCGATTAGGGTGATCCAGGCGGTCCAGCGCCAGCCCAGGTAGGAGTCCGTGATGAAGCCACCGACGATAGGGCCGAGGACGGGACCGAGGAACGTGGCCGAACTGAACAAGGCGATGGCAACTGCTCTGTCGACGGGGTCCCAGAGATCGGCCATAGCACCACCGACGACGGCGAGAGGGGAGCAGCCGAAGACGCCGATCAAGAATCGGAAAATCATGATAGTTTGGAGGTTCTGTGCGACGGCCACGGGGATCTGGAAGATGGCGAAGATGGCATAGCCCGAGAACAGCGGGAGACGACGTCCGTATAGTTCACTGACCGGGGCCCAGAAGAGAGGACCCAAGGCGAAGCCGAAGACGGTCAAACTGGTGCCCAGCACCATCACCTCGGTGGACACGCCGAATTCCTTGGCCGTCACTGCGGTAGCCGTGGAGAAGACACTACTCGCAAAGGTGATCCACATGGTCATGAGGGACATAATCACCGTGATGGTCCACTTGCGGCGGTGGGAGAAGTTCTGCGGGTTCCCGGGGTCATCGGGACCATCCCATTCGACGAGGTTGGGATCCTTTTCGGTGGGCTTCTCTGGTAGTGGTTGGTTCTGTGCAGCCTCAACATCGGTCTCGTTATCGTCGTCGTTTGCCTCGAATGGCGTTTGAGAGATCTCCTTGGTGGCGGCTTCGGCATCGGCATCCACATGGGACTCTTTCAGGGGCTCAGCGAGGTGCTCCATACTGAGGCGCGGTGTTGTCGTCGTTGAATCGAATTGGTGACCGATAGCCATCTGGTGCGAGCCTTGTAGGCTATTGCACTATAGTATTGAGAGAGATATATATATCGTTGTTGGTAAGAAACGGTTGATGGATTAACGGGAGTCTGTAGATAGCTGCTATATCAAACACGATGTCTCAACGCGGCTCTGACGGGTTCTTAGCAGATTCTTATTGATTTGAATATGATCTAGGAAAAAGGAGAAGTTCCTTAGCAGACGGTGGGCCTGGAATAGATTTTAAGCGACGTCGCCTCGTAGGCTTTTTTGAAGGATATCGCCCGGAACAGAAACTGGACGCAGATGACCGGACCCATCGAGTGGGCTAGAGAGCCTGGAACCATCACTCATCGAGGATTACAGATCCACTTTCTCTGGTTATGTCCGTCGATGAACTCCGTCTGGGCCTGGAATTGATTAAATCCGAAGACGCGATAGAGCGGAGTGCGAGAGTGATTAGTATTGCAGCCACGCTGCGTGCCGGTTTTCCGGTATACCGGAGCCAAGATCTGATCGAGCTGGCACGTTGCAGGTTAGAAACGTGGGCTGAGCCTGTCCGAGGCTCGCGGCAAAGTACAAGGTTTGCATATCCACTACACTCAGTAAAGAAGTCGGTGATTACCTAGTTGCCACAGCGCGCGAAGAAAAAGAAATGTAAAAAGAACAAGATTCTGGATGCTGATTGGCCAAAGAACGTTCCAAGATTCGGCCCGCACATCTCGGAGTCGGCCTTTTGTGGGCCCGAAGGACCGAGTCCCACAGCGGAGCGACCCTCGGCAGATGCTCGTCCTCGTGGCTTCCGATGGCCGAGTCACGATCAACTCCCAGAGCCGCTTACCTACAGCTCCTGGTGGGTTACAAGGCCACTTGGTGATTATGTTTATCTATGCTATCCACACTATGTAGCTTACACTACGCATAATTTATGATTCGGCTTGGCCTGGGCTTTTCCTTTATCTCCGAGAATGAAAGGAGGTTCGGGCCGTTATATCTATTAACAATAAACAAGGAGACTGGAGCCCATGTCGCGGGGCTAAGCAAAGCTATCCTCTTTTTCTCCGGAACCGTAAAGCCTAAAATTATTTGATTAATCATATTGTGGCGAGCTTGTCCGAGTTATTAGAAATGACGACATTCGTCTTCTACTTTAATCTATCTTTTTGTACATCTTAAGATCCATTCCGAGGGTAACCTCAGAACCGGCTGGTAGGTAGCTTCCAATAACGCAATTCTTACTTAGAGAGGGCACCTGGTATATCTCGCTCAATCTTGTACCTGGTTCTTTCTGCATAACACCATTCCTGGTAAATATCGCAGCATTCCCCATGTTGTTTATCCAGCGGACCAACTGATTGGGTCTGAACTTCACGGTACGTACGTCCCGTCCTTAAACCTCCCTAATCGTAGCGACATCTCGGAAAAATACGTATAATCCTGACTATTTGGCCGAACAATGAATATCTAAGTAGTGGCCTGCGAGATTGTACAGAAGTCCTCGGAAAACTAATAGACAAAGAAAGTCAGAGTGGGAAAGCAAGGCTTCCAGAAGGGGACGAAGCTGGACCCCCAAATACTAGACTTTTCTGATACCTTGAGATATAAATATCGGATTATGAGCTTTAGTTCCTACTAGAAATGACCAAGCTATGATAGCCATTAATTTATCAATTACTCACTGTATTTAAGATATTTGGCCTCGGAATCTACAGCCAGCTGTCTACTGAGAGCACTAGGTACTCGGATATAGGTCAATACCAAGATATTTTGATTTCATTAGAGTAACGTGAATGAGCTTAGGAAATCTTTTTCCCTCATAAATGATTATCAAGCTTCAGTTATTTCTCCTGACATGAAAACATCTTGTAGTATGCTCGTAAAACCCTCCATCAAACCATCTTGTGTAGGGCGGACGCGATCCCGTGCGACGCGTCCCTGGGCGGTCAACCTCCACTCCACCCTTTTTGCACCGCGTCAACTCTCCCACCTCCCTCAATAGTCCCATGTGAGCGCGGTCACCATCATCATGCCTTCGCGCACTCGCCAAGGTCCTGCCGATGAGCCGGAGGAAGAGACGGGCCTTCGCAATCTGTCCTTCAATCAGCCGCTCTCCTGGCGCGTGGGGCGTTCCGCCATCCCTATTGCCGATCTCCTGGAGCGTCTACAGACCCTCGCCCAGGAACTTCGCAAACTCGAACAGGAAGAAATCGACAAGGAATCTCTGACCAAGGTCTCCAAAGAGCTCGCCAGTGCTCATTTGCTGGCGCATAAGGATAGGGGTGTCAGGGCGTGGGCCATCTGCTGCATTGTCGATGTCTTGCGACTTTGCGCGCCGGACGCGCCCTTTACGAGGAATCAGCTCAAGGTGCGCGCTCGACAGACAATTGGGAATGGAGATACGAAGGCACTTTTGATGGGATGGATGGAGAGCTGATACCGTATTCTCACATTTAGGATATCTTCACCTGCGTGGTCACGTCCATTATCCCCGCACTGGCCGATCCATCCAACGCCTACAATGCGCAACATATTTACGTCTTGGGCTCGCTCGCCGAGGTCAAGAGTATCGTTCTCATGACGGACCTTGATCACCCGGACTCGCTCATTGTCCCTCTTTTCACCACTTGCTTCGATATTGTCTCGGGATCGTCCAAGGCCTCTACGGGGGAGGAAGTGGCCAAGGGCGTTGAATTTGACATGACTAGACTCCTGGTTACTGTCATCGATGAGACTCCAGTTTTGGCGGCGGAGGTGGTGGATACCATCGTGGCGCAATTTTTGCGGGTTGACCCTCGCGTGCTGGATAACCCAAAGAAGGGCAAACGGCCCGACGCACCCTTGGACGCCAAGCAGGACACCCTCCTCCTGAAGGATTACCCTCCAGCCTATAATATGGCCAAGGCGATCTGCCAGGCTTGCCCAGAACGAATGACCAGTCATATCAGCCAGTACTTCAACAATGTCATCATTGATGCTTCCGGTCCATCCAATCAAGCCAATGGAGCCAAGGGTGGCTCCCGCAAACCGAACCTCGACGACTCGGACGAGGAAGGTGAGGATATCAAGGAACTAAGCAAGGCGCATCGTTTGATTCGAGAGCTTTGGCGCGCCTGTCCAGAAGTCTTGCAGAATGTCATCCCGCAGGTGGAAGCGGAACTATCTGCTGAGTCGATTGCTCTGCGATTGCTGGCCACCCAGACTATTGGTGATCTTGCAGCAGGTATCGGTGTCGCAGGACCACCTCCGCCTCCGTCTATGGATCCCGCAGCATACCCCCCCGTCACACTGGAAGAATTGTCGCAAATCGTCACCCAAACTAGCGTTCTTCTGACGCCAGTTTCCCCTAAGCCCTTTTCACAGGTGCATGCCTCAGCTTACGAGGCTTTTTTGAGCCGGAGACTTGACAAGACCCCGTCAGTGCGCGCTGCATGGGTTACCGTCGTGGGCCGGATTCTGTTGACCTCGGCCGGCGGCTCTGGTTTAAGCGAGCATGAGGAGCAAGCTCTTGTTGAGAGTCTTGCGGATATGCTCCGTGATGCTGACGAGAAGGTTCGTGTCGCTGCAGTTGATACCGTCGGGCAGTTTGGGCTCTCGCATGTCGTTCACAAGCTAGGAATGAAGGGCGGTTGCTCTACTGAAAACTCCGTCCTTGCAATTCTCGCAGAGCGAGTCAAGGATCGGAAGCCCCAAGTTCGTGAGCATGCGATGAAGATTCTGGCACGTATGTGGGCAGTTGCGGCCGGCGAGATCGAGCAAAATACCGAGCCTGCCGTGTCGCTATTGAAAGATGCGCCATCCAAGATTTTTGATGCATTCTACACCAATGACCAGGAGATCCATATCCTGATTGACCGAGTCCTTTTTGAAACCCTTCTCCCTCTCAATTACCCTCCAATTAAGACGAAACTCTCGCGCTCCGCGTCGAACCAGTCGCAGAAGCAAAAAGATAGCCAGGCCTCTGAGCCCGACCAGGAAAACGATGTTGATAAGATTCGTGTTCGTCGAATCCTTACTCTACTTCGCGGCTTGGATGAGAAAGCTCGAAGGGTGTTCTTTGTTATGCTAGCACGTCAATTGTCCATGAGGTCAGCGATGACGCTCTACCTGGAGGCCTGTGAGAAGTACAACGTGAGTACCAAAACACTACTAGGGCTATGATATGAATTCGACTCTGACGTGAACATAGGGCGGCGTTGTCGGAAAGGATGAAGAGCAGTTCAAGGCCCAGCTTTCGCGAATTATAGACTCGTTGTCCAAGACTTTCCCAGACGCCTCGCGAGCTTCTGCAGATCTGTGGAAGTTTGCCAAGGTCCATGATCGTCGCAGTTATCAGCTCATTCGGTTTGCCATGGCAGCCGTTAGCGATTATCGTACCGTGATCAAGGCTATCAGAGAGCTTCAACGGCGCGCCCAAAGCGCTAACAATACGCCCCTTCTCGAGACCATCACCCCTCTTCTCTATCGCTCCAGCTCGCTTATTTTCAATCGAAGTCATATCCCGGCTATCATGAGCCTGTCTCGGACGGACGAGAATGGCTTAGCCAATGCGGCACAGGAGATGCTCAAGCAAATATCCTCGCATAACCCAGAGGTCCTGGAAGCACAAGTGCAGGAAATGTGCAAGGATCTTGAAGCACAGGCACCCAAGGCAAACTCGCCCGGCGATGCTAGCACCGAAGAGATTCTCAAGGCTTGCGCTGGGTTTGCTAAGAAGCTCCCGGCCAAGCTTCCGAAGGAGCGCAAGTTTTTCCAGGCTCTTACCAACTACGCCTTGTACAGTACCTCGCCTGCGTCTGCCAAACACGCTGTCTCTATTCTCATGGCTACGGCCGACCGGAAGGAGATGTACGCAAAGGATCTGGTTCATAAATGCGTTAAAAAATGGTCGTATGGCTCTGAGCACTTCCTCACTCGTCTGGCTGCCTTGTCGCAATTGAACCTTCTCGCACCGAGGGAAGCCGATGAAGAGAGTGATGCAATCATCTCAATTGCTGTCAATCAGGTGCTCTTGACCAACCGCGCCCCTGAGGATAACCCCGAATACAGCTGGTCTGAGACTACGGATGAGGAGACCCAGGCCAAGGAATGGGCCCTCAAAATCATTGTTAACCGTCTCCGGGCCAAGGATGGGTCAGATGGGGATGATGATATCCGTGCTCACGCCGAGCCCGTTTACGACACACTGAACAAGTTGGTTGCTGGCGAGGGCGAGTTGTCCAAGAAGAAGGACACCCCAGCGAATCAAAAGTCACGCCTACGCCTTCTTGCTGCCAAGTCTCTCGTCAAGCTGTGTGCTTCCGGAGCACTGTGCGACCAACTACTTACCCCAGCAAACTTCAACTCGATCGCTCTGATGGCACAGGATCGACTTCTCCCGGTGCGCACTGCGTTCATCAATCATCTAAAGAAGAAGCTGGTGCAGCGGACACACTTGAGCCATCGCTGGTACATCATTCCCTGTCTGCTCGCCTTCGAGCCCAGCAAGACCTTGAAGGAGAGCACGCTTACCTGGCTTCGAGCTCGCGCCGCCTTTTACTCCCAGCAAGCTCAGGCCAGTGGCAAGAGGACCGAGCAAACCATGGTGATGGAGTTGATATTCTCACGTCTCCTGTCCCTGCTTGCTTACCATCCTGACTACCCGTCCGATGAACTTGATGAGTCGACGAGGTTGGGCGATTTGAGCGACTTCGCACAATATATCATTTACTATCTTTCTGCTGTGGCCAATGAGCACAATATGTCCCTGATCTTCCATGTTGCGCAGCGCGTCAAGCAATTCCGCGACGGTATCACCAAATCCGATGAGATCTCCACCCGCCTTCACACCCTGTCCGACCTCGCCCAAGCTACGATTCGACGCTTTGCTGACATTTACTCTCAACAACACAAGTTTGGTGGTGGTAGTAGCGGTGCCACGAACCTTCTCCAGACCTACCCCGGAAAAATGGGTGTTCCCAGCTCCCTTTTCGCCTCGATGACTAGTCATCGCGAGGCCCAAGACGTTGCTGATAAGAACTTCCTCCCTGATGAGATTGATGACTTGCTTGACCGTGTGGTGCGGGCTGCTATGAAGCCCAGGAACGCTTCTCACGGTGCACAAAGCGGTTTTGTGAAGAAGCGCAAGCCCGAGGCTTCTGATGCGAACGGCTCTGCGTCGAAGAAGGCCCGAAAAGAAAAATCTTTCGGGCGGCCTCGCAAGTCCACATCATCTGTCGGCGTCTTGGGCAAGTCCTCTCGGCGTAAGCGGACGGGTGATGACGAATGGCCGTCTGATGTGGGCTCCGAAGATGATAAGCCCAAGTCTACCTCGGCCCGTCGGCGCAGCAGCCGTGGCACTGGCAAGCAAGGGGTCAGCTATGCCGACAAGGACAGCGATGAGGATGATCAGGAGATGCAAAAGTGGGAAGAGACCCAAGATACTGAGGGCAAGGACGATGAAAACGATGAGGAGGAAGTTCAAGACTCGGACGAGGAGATGCCGGACGAGGACGATAAGAACGATGAGAACGATGACCAAGACGAAGAAAATGCCGAGGATGCCAGTGAGAAAGAAAACTCGCCGCCGGTCCCACCAAAGCGCGGTGCAAAGGGGAAGGCGAATGCCAAGGCATCTGGTTCAAAGACCAACACTCCGGCCAAGCAAGCAACTACATCAACATTGCCGACGCGTCGATCCTCTCGTCGAGGATGATGTCCTCTTATATGTAAAGTTGCGGTTTCTAGCTCTTCTTGGTGGTACCCTTTTATCCTTCCCAGCCCCTGCAAAGCGATGTGCAAAACAATGCGTCCCGATATCAATCTTTTATCTATCATTACATCTGCTTTGCGTTGCTATGTTCTTACAGTCGATGACAATTCGAGATGTATACCCAATCTTTCTTTGATGCCTTTTTCATCAGCCAGCTGAATTTACCCCGTTTCTTTCATGAGTCCTTGCGTCTGCTATTTACTATCAGTCAATATGATTCATGTCTATGTATCTAGTTCAGATTCATCCATGTGTTCCTGGTATCCGGTTTACAACAGTAGAGATGAGTAGAGGCGAGCTCCATTTATTTATTGGTTGTAGATACCACTACCGTTATATTTTGAGAAGATCTGCCTCGAGGCTCATTACCCCGCTCTCGCTCAATTCTCACCAAACTCTGGCATTCTATCTCTAATAAACCTGCCCTCCTTCACGTTTACGTCTTACTCATCCATTGGTATTTCACGATCTCTTAGACCCGATTCACTCAGTTTCTCGACTGCAGTAAGGATACACTATGTGATTCCGTGCTTAGTGCTTTCACCAGCTTCACATAGGATTGACCTTTAACCAGACTTCATGGCCATCGATTTCCAATCAGTCGTCCCAATCCTCCGCATCTTTGATATCCCCAAAGCGGACGAGTTCTATCTCGACTATCTCGGCTTTAAGACCGACTGGGATCATCGGTTCGATACCAACGCGCCGCTATATCGGCAGATTTCTAGGGGAAACTTGATCCTGCACCTGAGTGAGCATCACGGGGATGGCAGCCCGGGTGTGCAGGTCCGGATAAAGATGAGGGGAATTGTGGAGTATCATCGCGAGCTAAGTGCTAAAGGTTATCGTTATATGAGGCCGGGAATCGAAGAGGGTCCGGCGGCGGGCTCGCAGGAGATGGGCGTCATTGACCCGTTTGGAAACCAGTTAAGGTTCTGTCAGGACGATGATGAGAAAACGCAAACCTAGGCTTGAAGACTAGGGAGAGCGGCATCAAAGGAGGCTAGCTTGGGATCGGTATGACCTATCCGTAGGGAAGGGCACTAAGTAGTTAAAATAGAATGTGGTAGTAAGTGGAAGAAATCAGTAAAATGAGGATAGCGGTCTGCGAAAATGAGCGATAGCTAGATTCGTGACTTGACAACACGTAAGAGGAAGTGTGTCCAAGGTCAAGAAAAGGAATGAAGAGTTTGTTATGTTCTCAGCGTTGGGCTATGTCCTTGGTCTGCGTTTCGAAGCAAAAAGCCACTTCCCGACAGATCGGTAGACAGTATCTCAAAAGGATCCATATCCTTTGATACTAAATCTCTTCCGGAAATGATGGCTTAGGAGACGTAAGAGAGATCTAACATTGCGAAATAAAAGGTCGCAATTTTGCAACACGTAAAAAAGATCTATATCGTGTAGGCTGACAAGGAGAGTTGAAGCCACTGAGGTAGATCTTCCAGAAACAAGGCCATTCTCCAGAAGCGCTCTTTCCCTGTCATACATAACTTGATCTTCAATCATAACATGTCTGGTCTAATGAGACAGTTCTGAACAGATGGAGTTTACATGTCCTCACATCTCTCAGAACGGTAGCCATACTAGCCATAGTAGCAACTAGCTATGGGAGTCAATTGCTACGGGGGTTGATAGCTCCGGTGTCCACGGCGTCCACTGAATCAACGCCGCCCTCAATCAAACCCCCAGTCCTCCTTATTCAATCCCCATTTACCACACAGATATCCCAACCACTTCCGCACGGGTATAGCTTCACCGTCCGCCGAGATCACAATCTCACCATCCGTCTCCACGGCCGGAAGCTTACCACGGCACACCCACGCAAATCTCTTTGCATCCCAGGCAGGCAGGCGGAACCAGTCGTGCGTCTCGCTACACACAAGCAGTTTACGCCGTTCTTTAGAAGTCTTCTCTTTGGCAGAGATCTTCTGGTGACAGTTCTCGCAGAAGTGAGTGCAGAAGCAATATCCACAGGCCCAGTAGGACTCGTCGAAACCGCAGCGAGCCTCACAGCTGTCACATTGAATGTACCATTCCACCTGTAGGACATCGTTGAATTCCTTCAGGATGCGGGCCATTTCCTTCCAGTGCTCTGCGTCCTCTTCGGTTGCCTGCTCAGAGAGTCGGGCGACCTCGCTCTGAAGAGTGATGACTTGGTTCAAGGGGATCTCACCTTCCGAGCAGTTGGAAGCATAGAAGTCGGTGATTTTCTTGGTTGCTGCCATGGCTGCGGCTTCATCGCCGATGTGCAAAAGCTCCGTGAGGATTTCTTGGTCGAGGAACGCACTTGGAATGAGCTTGTAGGCCACTCCGGCGTTTGCGTAGTCTCCGACGTGGGTCAAGAGATGGGCAAGCATGCTGTATCCGACCCAGTCATTGCCTGAATCATCATCGGTGAGCATGTTGAGAACGACCGCCATGTCCCATTGGAAGACTGCCTGGGCCTGGGCAACCTGACCACGAAGTACGTATTGAGAAGCCAGGTAACATTTCGCTTTTGTCCAGCCTGACATTCCGTCCGGTAGTTGATCCGTTGCAATTCTCTCAAGCTCTCTGATCTGATTCTGGTAGGAATGTTCGTCTCCATCCAGTAACAGGTGCGTTTGATCAAAGTGATACTTGCTGAGGATATCACCGACAAGAATCAGGAGATGGCCAGAGAGACTTCTGGCTTCACTATTTTCACCGACCAACAGTGTAGTAGCAGTGCTGGTCCGTTTAAAGTAGCCATTGTCCCGTGCAGCTGCCCAGCATTCTTGCCAGTGCTCCACCTCAGATCTCGTCGACGTGTAGTCATCACCACAAAGGGAAGCTGCAATACCCTTATGCAGATGCAGAATCGCAAGGTCGTCAGAGCTGCTTTCACTCTCGGCCTTCTCAATGGCCTTGTCCATGCATTGGAGTAGTTCTGGCCAGCATTCCGGAATAAGCGATGCGCCAGAGATGACTGCGTTAAAAATGATGAATATGGAGATTTCACTGTCAACTTCGACCTTGTAGTCATCAATGACCAGCTTCAAAATAGGCTCCAAAAGGTCCGGGTGGATTCCATCCTCGCTGGTGAGTGCCTCCCGCACGACGGCTGCCTGTCCATCAACCGTGCAGTTGGATATGCGGTATTTGAGAATGCGATATCGAGTCTCAATGTTCTCGGGATCGATTCCACGGGCCTTCTCATAAAATTCAAGAGCCTCTTCACCAGAAGACAAGCGTCCCATCAGGATGAAAATATCACGGAGCTCGTTCTTGTCAATCTCCTTTCCAGATGCTTCGTCATCCTGGAGTATTTTTGCGGCCTAGTATAATGTCAGCACGGACTGGACTGAAGAACCTGCTTGGAGATCTCCGTAAAGGGATCTTACTTTTCCATATTCTTCCCGAGCCTTTTCTGGCTGTTGGCATCCACGGTAAGTCTCTCCAAGCCGAACATGCCACACAAAGTCGGTCTCTTCAATTTCAAGCGCGGCTTTGCTCCAATTGGACGCTTTTTCAATCAGGAAGGGGCGGATTTGATCCAGTTCGTCACGTTTGATGGACATATACTCGTCATTCTCCATGCTGACAGCGTCAGAAAGAACTCGGTTGTCCTGTGAAGTCTTGAGTGCAGAAAGCAGGTTAGCTCAGATATACGGCGGACCCTGAAGTAATTGTCCAATCTCGAACGTACCATCATCAGCGCATTCAAAATGGTAGCGCATGGCCGGAGCGGCTGCCATTCCCTATCTTGCAACCATCGACGAGCAAGCATTTTCATGAAGGGGGTCAACAATTTCCTCGTCGGGTTCCAATCATCAGTCGCAGCAGCGAGCCATTCTGCCTTTGGTGCGTCGAGCTTGCTGATGGCTACGGGATCCTTAAGCCAGCCCCAGATGCAATCCATCTTGGATTGATCCTCCGTCCAACCAAGCAACTCGGTGCTCTTCCAATGCTTCTCAAGATGTTCAGGTTCATGGAAGATATCGAGAACGTTTCTGGCAATAAAACGTCTCTCCTCGGCGCTCAACTCATCAGCCTCGGTTGCGGTGCGCAACATGTCCAAATGTGACGTGAGACCGGCCAAAAGTTTGGGTCCCACAAGCTCTGTCGTTTCATTTGGAGGATTGAAGATGAGTGAGAATACAAATTTGAGCATGGTCATATGGGAGTCGGTGTCATTGATACCAATACGTTTCTTCTGAGTGGGACCGAAGCCGGAAGAAGAATCAGCGGAGATGCCAGTTGGGGCGAACTTGAACTGATCGATAGCCCCAAATCGGCCCAAGTCCCAGAAGAAGCGCTGAATACTTTCTGAATCAGCATTGGTGATTGTAATGTTGATGCTGATTGTTCGTTCGTTGGACGCTCGTTTCTGTGCTCGGTCCTCCAGCTTGACATGATCTCTGATATGGTCTTGTAACAAGACCTCTCCGTCCGAATCAACATAGAAAAGCTTTGTGTAGGTACCCTGAAGCTTCTCTCGCAGAGGCTTGAGAGATGTGGCTTCAAAGCGAAGGAAAAGAATTCCTTCGAGCTCTTCGACATTGTAATAGTAGGGCCCAAGATCGACCCAAACGAGCAGTTCATTCACCTCGTCGATGAGTTTCTGGTTGTTGGGCAAGGCTTCGAGTGACGCAATATCGTCGGTGATTGTAGCCTTTGCGTTCTTCTTAGTTGCGCTCAGGGCCTTTTTCAGATCGTCCTCTGTCATCTCAGACTCTACGATACCCTTGACCATTCCAATGTCGCTTCGCACTTGAGTAAAAGTGCCCTCTGCTCGTGTCTTGAGTGCGGCCTGCACTTCCTCTTTGATCCGTCGATTTTGCGCATTGTCTGCTTGGAATAGATCTGAGTTTTGCAACTCGCGCTCGATGTATTTGTCAATGTCATCCCCGTTGCAGGACCCAACATCAATCGTGGGAAATTGCACTCCTCCATCGGGTGCTTCTCCCAGATTTTCAAGCTTCTGCAGGCTTCCGCACACAAGCACTCTAGCTCCATTACGTGCTTCCCTGCGAGGATCTGGGCCTTGAGCTTCGCTGATACCTCGAAAGATGTTTCCAAGCTCCTGCAGCTTGTTGGCTGGGAGATTGTCAATCCCATCGAGCAGCAAAAAATGGGTTGCAGTCTGCGTGGGTGCTCCAAGTCTCAAGTCGTTCCAAAGCTGTTGACAGTCTGCATCGCGGAAGTATCTGGCATCTTTGGCTTGCTCTTTGACAAGATCCGGTCCGTCCTTGGCCCCATCCGTATTGTCTTTGAAGCTCTCCGCTAGCTGCTTAGCATATGCAGCATCTTGTAGAGCAAACTGAATGCACACAGACTTTAATGCTGTTTCGGCAGGTGTTTTGTCGTCGTCAATTTTACCTGTAGGCGCAAACGCATAATATGCGACCAGCGTGCGTCCATCGCTTTGAACCAGCGTACGCCCAGTCTCCTGAGTCAGGGAAGATGACCGTTTGTCAAGGTTTTTATAAACAACTGATGCAAGAACTGACTTTCCTGACCCCCCGTCACCAGCCAAGAGTAGCAAAGGACTGGTCTCTGGAGGATCATTCTTGACCCAATTCACATACTCGTCCATTCGATTCAACCACTCTCCACTCCCCTTGACGGTACTTTTCCACAAGTTGTCGCAGACGTTGATTGTGCTTGTAACTTCGTTTTCCGAGATTCCAAGTGTATTGCGAATTTTCTCGATATGACTCTTGGTCGTCTGCTCGGTTCGACGCTTCTGTTGTTCCGCGGATAAATTCCCGACCTTGTCCTTAATGTCGTCCGTAGTCTTTATAATCTTTTCAGTATCATCTTTGACCAAGAGCAACGATCTCTTAGTTTCGATAACCTGCTGGATAGTCCAGGTGCCCTCAATCATTTTCTGGGTTTCAATCAAGCTCTTGAAGTGCGCGAGCTCGTCTTGAATTCCCTCCTCGTCAAACATGGCCTTCTTCAGGTTGGCCTTGAGTCGTACTAGGAAGCCGCCATCCCTGAAATTAATGCACTTGGCACAGAGAGTCACAAAACTGATCATGACCTTGTTGATGGCCAAGACCATGTCGGGATGGACTGCGTCCCTGCTCTCGATGTCTCGATACATCTCGAATTGCACCAGTGTTGGCTCAACCTCGACGAATATGCCATCAATGGCAGCATGGAAGCCATGAAGCTTTGGCGGAATGTCAAGAAGAAACGATAGAGCACTAAAGCAGACGCCTGCCGGAGGGAAGGCCTGATGCATGAACATTAGCGCCCCACGAATAGAAACGTGAAAGAGGGTAGCCTTACCAGCGACGCAGCCTGAGATGCCACTCCACCCAGGAGCTGTATGCATTTCACAATTCGTAGGCCAGCTTGCTTTGCCTTCTCGACATTGGGGTCCTTGGATGAACGAGAGGCTTCGATCGTGTCGCGAATATGCTGCAAGGAAGCTGCCGAAGTCGGCTGAAGTTGTTTGCCGGTCAACCGCTCGAACTCCCGTCGTGCAATCTCCCAGATTCCCGCGATGGATGTAGGGCTATCCTTTTCACCCATATTGCACGATTCGACCCAGTATTAGAAGAGTTGTCTCCGCTCTTTCTCAATCGCCTGGGGCACCCCGTATAATTATAAACAAAAAGTCCGCCAAGAAGCCTCCCACAACCCATTGGGCCGTGATATCCACATGCTGCTCAGCTGAGGCTGACGTGAGGAGCCACTTTGGGATTAGCGAGAGCACGGAGCCTCCTGTAAAGGGTCCGACATGCTCAATGAGGTATTTGAAGGGTAATTGCTGCATTTACGGAAGATTCTACTATATCACATTGCGTACGACATGGTTCTTAAAGCAAAGCGCAAAAAGCCAAGAGGAGAACAAAACAATCACGATGCAGAGATGATCTAGCACCGTCCAAAAGGAGAGAAAAATACCAGTAAATTCGCTCTGCCACTGCAGACTCAAAAATAAAATCCTATACAACTCAAGAAGAAGGAGACGGATGAGAGAAAAGGCTAAAACAGGATGTTCTTTAGACCAGTTGGAAATATTCGAAGGGGTAGAGTAGGCACGTCGAGTGAGATGACCATAGGAAGAATGGGAAACAATACAGGGCATTCGAAGTCAGAGGAGTCCAGTTCAAAAGATACCACACATTCGAGACGCCGTTGTCATAAATTCATCAAGAGAACCATATGACTTAAGGCTGCGGCCCCGTGGCCTGGGAAGGAGAGACACCAGGGATTGGAGCAGCACCCAAGGCCGGACTGGCACTGGCAGAGGTCGGCGCTCCCGGCGCAGGGCTGGCACCGGCACTGCCACTCATGTCAGGGGTGACCGGTAAACTGCCAACTTTGTTGATTCGTTCTTCAACACGCTCCTTGTGTTGGCGGTTGCGCAGGTGAACTTCAAAGTTGTCTACCGTCATGCCGGGGCCGGGGGTGTAAAGCTTTCCAGGGCAGTCATGGCAGCGGATACGGGGCAAATACTGATATTTGATCTTCTGGCCAGCTTGCAAATTGGCTGGATTGGAGACAGGCGCAAGAGTTTCCGTATCCACAGCAGAATATCGCATCACTCCTTCAAACGAGTCATTAGGATGGGATTGCTTGAGTCGGGTCAGACCAGCCTGAAGCCAGCTAGGCGGAGGGGGCTGAAAACGTATACGAGTCAGCTAGAACCCACGGGTTTTCCAACGACATTCAGTATCCACTCACTCCTGGGACCCCCTGCTGGGGCGGGTTCGGTGCGTCGACGGCTCCGGTTTGCTGAGGTCGAGGGGGATGATGCTGTCGGTTCTGTTTGTCGGAGGGAGGTGCCATGGCGCCAGCTTGGGTAGCCGGGTCAAAAATCCGTTTTCCGCTTCGGAGATCTGCTAGTTTATCTCGTGGAATCTTGAACTTCACGACAAGTTTCTCAGGCTCTTCCGTACTTTCTTCTCGCAATTGCTGTTGACGTCGTGACGACACTCGGGTGGGCTCCTGAATGATAGGTTCGGGTGTTGCTGACTGCCCCAAGCTAGCGCGCAAAGCTGCATGGGCTGCCGTGGCCGCGCCTCTCATTCCTCTTGTACGGGCAGTGCCTTGAGACAGATGGGGACCGATGGCTGGTGACCCTTCGTCCGAGTCGTCACTTTCAAAGTCATCAGACTCATCGTCACCACGGGTACCTGCCAATCCACGGCGGCGGCTGGAGCCGGAACGCTTGATGACATTGCTTTCTTCAAAGGATTGTGCGGAGTTGGGAATAACAGAGGAAACGATGAGGGTACGAATGGTACGTTGCCGGTCTTTGAGGTCTGGTAGAGCTGGGCCACCGCGACGATTGATGGATCGCTTCTGGCGACGTTGCTCCCGCGAAATCGAGATTTCGGTGCGCTCGAGGTCGGCCTCGTTCAGTTCGTAAAGGTATGGGGTGTGCTCCTTTGCTGCCTGGAAAGGGCGGAATGCGGAGGCAACGGGGGTTGGGAGGAAGGATGTGCTGAGGTCGGGGTCCTCGATGGGGCGGCCATCGAAGGGGTGGCTGACAATGTAGAGCGACTTGGTGAACAATTGAGATTGCTCGCGAATAGAATGGGCAATGGCCGTCGTGAATTCTCCTGACAGCGACAAATCGTCCGTCAAACGCAAGGCGAATTCCTCTGGTGAATTTTCCGGATCATTGATGTCCCACTCAAATTGGTCGATGAGCGTGTGTTGGCCGATAGTGATATTCAGTTTGATCAGGATACGCATCTCGTCGTTGCGATGCGCTGTGTATGGTAGCTGGGGGTCGAGAGGTTCTTCTTGCATGTAGATCTGGGGATAGTAGTCCATAATCTGCTCCTGAATGCTCTGCGAAATCATACGTAGCAACGGGGCGGATGTTTCCAAAGAAAGTCCCAAATCTTCCACCAATTTTTCGGCAAACAGATCCGGCGACACGACACGGTCATGGAGATTCCAAGTGAAAGTATCTCGAATCTTGATCTTTTCCCAATCAATGTCAAGGCGGATGGGTACGAGATCTTCAATCTGCTCGCTTTGTATCTTCATATCCCGTCTTGAAACTCGCAGTTCTCGAGTTTTGCGATTCCCGGGCCGACGTCTATGAGCCGGGTACAATAATTGTGGGGGTTGATTCCGAAGGTCGGATCGCGGGTTTCCAAATCCTTCGTATCCTACTCCAAACAAAGCTGCTGGGTTGCCTTGAGTTTCGCGACGCACGGCAAAATAGAAGTCCCGCTCTGATCTCTTCTGTTGCTGTAGTTCTTGGGCTGGGTTCTCCCACGCGACGGCCGCGGAGTATTGGAATTCGCGATTGACATATTGGTCGAGCAGAATCTTGTCGACGGGCGTCTCGCGCGTCCGAACAGTCATTGCCCCAGAAATGTCGCTAGCATGAATGACGGATCCATCGCGCGATCGTTTCCTACTTTGCGCGGAGCCGTTTGTACCGTTCGACTGGTGGGTGCCATTAGTCTCATTCACAGACTCTCCTGCCGGTGCCCCCATCTTGGCTTGCGAGCTCTGTTTTCCTTCTGAGATGGGATTCGATGAAGGTCCGTTGGTGGACTGAGTCGTTCCGTTATCCAGGGAGTCTACACCTCCTTGCCCCATGTCAGATGAGCCGGAACCGTTTTGCATGCCCGACTGAGAACCAACGGAAGACCGGTCTGAGGGGTTCGATTGACTAGCCAGTTCAGGGGAGGGCATGACCGACAATCGGGTGAAAGGATTCGATCGTTGGGTTTCCGCTCGACAGGGGATCGATTAGGGTGTGGCACTCGACGCGATAGGGATAAAGGCCAAGACAATTAAGACAGCATCATTAAGCGATATCTGGGGAGTGATTACATCTGTGTCAGTTCAATTATTCCCAAGAGTTCAATCATTCGCTCCATCTCCATGAGCGACCACGCAGCCACGCTCGTCATGTGTGATGCCGATCGATGGCGTGTCGCGACGGGCGCAAGTCCGCGGACCGACCACGGGGATGACGAGCATGAACTGCGCGTAATCGATAGGATATCGGAAGGATGGAATTGATATGAGGCGACCATGTGTGGAAATCAATCAATGAGTAGGGAATCAGCATACCGCAACGGAAGGGGGTTTGTGGAGGCCGGTTGCGCTCTCTGTCACGCCGGCGACCAGGCAGGTGTCCAACGAAGACAAGATCGGACCAAAGTGGAAGGGCCAGAGAACCGAGAAACTTCAAGCTCAAAGAGAAGATTAAGTGATCTCTCCCGTGGAGGTCGGTTGGCGCTGATACGCTTGAGGATGGCGGTTCCTTGGGGCGCGCGGGTGGTGAGAGAAGTTCAAAGGAGAGGAGGAGGATTACGAGATGTCCGCTCCCGGGCAAAGGCAAGGCAAAAGCCTCGGTGACCCCATATCACGGCCACAACAGACAGAAATTACGGGTTAGAAATATGAGGTTTACTGAGGAAAAGGCTTTCGATTATCATAAACTTTCAACTGTTGTTTTAAGCTGGTTAGGGCACTGCGCCAGCTTTGGCTCAAACCTGGCATGTGGGGTCATGTGATCATGTCCGGGATGGCTAGCTGTTAGTGCCTTGTTTATAAGGCCCGAAGTTGGATCTTGGCCCGGTGTTGATTGCAAAGATCTATGAAAGCATCTTCTACAAAGTGGTTCATTGGAGATTTCGATAGAGTATAATGAAAGATGGTGATTACTTCTGTTGCTGTTGACTCTTCGGCCTTCTTTAGGAGATCTAGGAACCTCAAAGCCGGGTAGCCAACATATCCCTGGACAGAGAAGTACCTCCGGGGCTGAGTATGAACAGGAATTTTCGGGAGCACTACTAGCCTACAAGCCTAAGATCAGCAATAACTACACAATGGTCCGAATTGAATACCCCGTCGTCGAACCTGTTGGCCATCACAGAGTAACCGTCCACCTTCCATTTCTGGTTGCCTTTGGAAGCGAGGAGAACATAGTCAATCCGCGAGGGTGGCTCTTTTTCATACCCAAAGCCCGTGAAGGTATTGTGATTCCCATATCGCCGTGAAGCATCAACCAGTTTGAAGGCATCTTCCAGATCGCCGGACCCGGTCAAGTCCAAGTAGGCTTCTTGATCTTCCTTACTGTTCAAGTCACCCGCAAGGAATGTGCCTCCAATCAAGGTCCCAAACTTGCCCTTTCGGTACTCCTGGATCTTCGCTCGAATTATTCGCGCAGCTTCCAAGCGCGACCGAGATCCCTGGTCATCTAGATGGGTACTCATGGCGAGGACCGTATTGCCGCTTGCACGGTGAGTGAAAACGCCGATGGTGACAATACGAATGGAGGCTGCATCCCAGCTCTTGGATGGTTTGGAGGGAGTCTTTGATAGCCACACTGTCTCCCAATGTAGAAGTTTCCAAACCGATGGTCGATAGAAGATGGGTGAATATTCGCCAGCCTGGTGCCCATCGTCTCGACCGACTCCAATGTATGCCCACTCTGGAGACGGTGATTCCGCCTTGGGGTTCAGTCCCGTAAGGAGATCTTCCAGCTGTCTATGGAGAACCTCCTGCAGACAAATAAACGTTTCACTGAGATGACGTGTATGATACTCGAGCTCGTTCAGCAATAGCTGCTTGCGCCGGTCCCAGGGAACTTCCCCCTTGAAGGGAGAGCTAGTAGCATATCGGATGTTATGGGTCAAAACACGGAGAGGAAGCTCTGGAGTGGATCTCATCTTGAACCGCTATTGTCAGAGAGTTTGGAAAGATCAAAGCCACACCAAGTATCCACAAGCGAGGCCTTGATCGTATGGGGAAATGAGAGGGGAAAAGAGATCGAGACTAAAAGAGGAGAAGTTCAATGGGGGAAGGAGGGGGTGATTGGAGAGGCATTCCGAAGGACGGAGGATCCCTGCATGCGCAAAGCTCACGAGACCTCGAAAAGGGACTGTGTACGAGCCGACAGGCTCGAATCAACTCTCTAGCATAGTTCTTGCGGGGTTCAATGCAACTGTTGAGTTCGACTGGAGGCGCAAGTAAGTCCCCTCAGCGGCTGAGCCATGACGTCTTTGCCGGCCGTAACCCTAGACGTGGACAGCCTGAATCGTCAGGCGGGATTTTACCCCCACCACCGCTAAACGCTCTCTCGTTCGCTGCACACGACTTACTCTTGATCTCCATTTCTCCTCAGCTCTCCGCGATTTAGCATTTGCTGCCCCGAATCTACCTGCATTACTTTCCTTGCTCCTTCCGTGAGCTCCATCTATTTCACAATGGCGGATACTACCCAAGCGCCCGAGGTTGGTATGTGAAAACATGCTCGAGGTGCTTCCGCGAAAGCTCTGACGTTTTGTGGGTGTCGGTTGCCCGACATCCATTCAGAGCTTCGCCGAGGCATATAATCCATACGAAACTACCATCTTTGACAAGATGGTCTTCATTGCGTTCAGAAAACTAATTGCGCCTTCCATTTTATTTAGACTACACCCTCAACAACCCTGACACCTTGACCAAGTACAAGACCGCTGCTCAGATTTCGCACAAAGTGCTCGAGGCCGTCACTGGTATGTGCTTGTTGAATTGTTCCTCCAAATTCAATTCAATCAGTCTGACTCTAGGTATATAGCTCTGTGCTCCGAGGGCGAGAAGATTGTCGAGATCTGCCAGAAGGGTGACCAGCTCCTCGAGGAGGAAATCGCCAAGGTCTACAAGGGCAAGAAGATCGCCAAGGGTAAATTCCATCGCTGCAGAATACCAACCCTCCAATTGTCCATGCTAACACGCACGCCTCAAGGTGTCGCTCACCCCACTACCGTCTCTCCCAACTCCTATGTGACTCCCTACACCCCTCTGGTGTCCGATGCCGCCGAGGCCGAGACTACCCTGAAGGCCGGTGAGGTCGTCAAGATCCAGCTCGGTGCCCAGATCGACGGATTCGGTACCATTGTCTGTGACATGCTTGTCGTTCCCAAGAAGGACTCCGCCAAGGAGGTTGTCACTGGCCGCGAGGCTGACCTTATCCTTGCTACCCACTACGCCAACGAGCTTCTTCTGCGCCTGATGGTTCCCCAGGGTCTGCTCGCCCAGGGTACCGATGAGGAGAAGGCCAAGGCCACCGCTCAGCGCCCCCTTACCCAGGCTCAGATCTCCTCCCTCCTGGAGAAGGTTGCTAAGGCTTACGATTGCAAGATTGTCGAGAACACCACCAGCTGGCTGTTTGACCGCAACGAGATTGAGGGCACCAAGAAGATCATCCTGTCCCCCGGTGACGGTGTTCGTGGCGATGGTGTCCCCGAGGTTGGTGAGGTTTGGGGTGTTGAGGTCGGTCTCAGCTTGGGTTCCGGCAAGGTCAAGAACCTCGACCACCGTGCTACCCTGCACCGTCGTACCACCACCACCTACATCCTGAAGCGCCCCAGCTCTCGCCAGACTCTGTCCGAGGTCGTTAAGAAGTTCGGTACTTTCCCCTTCAGCTTGCGCCAGCTCGAGGACGAGAAGGCTGCCAAGGTCGGTGTTGTCGAGTGCGTCCGTAACGGTGTCCTTCGCCAGTACGAGCCCGCCGGTGACGCCGAGGGCGCCGCTGTCTCGCGTCTTCTGTCTACCATTGGTAAGTATCTAGCTCACCTACTCTCGTAATTCGTGTGATAGAAGGGACATTCGCTAATGATTTCCCACAGCCATCACCAAGAACGGTATCACCAAGCTTGCCGCTCCAAACGTTGACCTGGAGCAGTTCAAGTCCGACAAGAAGATCGAGGATGAGGAGATCCTCAAGATCCTTGAGCAGCCCCTGGCCCGTTCCACTGGTAACAAGAAGAACAAGAACAAGAAGAAGAAGACCGCCGGTGGCGAGGAGTAAACGCATCCCACGCGATTACAGTTCTCGGGAGTCAGTGTGGTCTACGTCCATTCTCAATGTTGGCCGCCGCTCCCCATTTAAGCGTGCAAAATCTCTCAAAATCTAAAAAAGATATCCAATGACGAATCATCCCATTGTGGGCTATACAATCTCCTGCCATTCAAAGATATTCTTCACACATCAAACCTGGGTGATGTCGACAAGTGTTGGAGAACAGAACCGGCAATGACCGTTCATAGTTTCGGTACGAGTTGAATTGAGTTGACGATCTGCACGTCAAGCAGTTCGGAAGGTATATGACTTGTGGTCATTTGTTCCCAGGTAGATAAGAATCTTATAGGAAGATGGTACACGCATGACAAGCTAGACCCAACCAGTACAGCTTATCGATCCGTATTCCCCTTCGACAATGCATTGTAATATGCTCCCCGACTTGCCTTAAAACTGAGAAGTCAACAGACAAATCTAAACGGTGTCTAGGGAGACGATTCCAAATACCGTCAGCGAATATTTTGGAATATTTTGTAAAGAGGAAGTAGGTCTTTCTCCGATCGTTAGATCCAAAGTTCTAAGCCGAGTAAAAGCAAATTGAATGATAACAAGAATGTCGTGCGAGTAACAGGATCCATTTTGTAAGCCAAATGGAGGCGTTGTCGCGGCTTTCCAAATGCTCATGGGGGGTCCAAATGTAGTCAATGCTGTATGAATATGAGCTATAGATTTTACCTTTTGATTCATGAATCTTCGTCACTTGATATTCGAGGGTCGTCCAAAGCCTTTACTAGTAATGGATCAATAGTCTCGTCCAGGGCGTCGAAGCCTGCGTTCCTGGTTCGATATGCTGGTATTTCAATGTACTGGGTTGAACACCACGCTGACTTCTTCGTTGCCCATATCAAGACATACCAGTGAGAGTTAGATATTGATAGTTGCTCGAGATTCTCTCTCGAATCTTTCTTCGGTGTTTGGTCACTGGAAGCTGTTGCGCCGAAAGACTCGAAAGGCGCACTGCCCACGCTGAGATTGACAGCTGATCACTTCGCTCTCCCCCTCTTCTTTTCTTCAATCTCGTTGCTCTTGGCCACCTATGAGGCTGCACTAACTCAAGCAATAACCTCACGCTCGCGTTCAGTACATGCTGGATACCTCGCTCTTGTGAACTTCAAAAATCTCCAAGGCGTCTCAGTGAGGTAAGTATCTCTACAGATGCCTCGATCAAGACGAGCAAGTACATACGAGATCCCCATTATTGCTCCGCAGCTCAGAGGAATTTGATGGGTCTCGATCTCACAGCTTCGTTCTGATGCCCGTCAGATTGCGATCAGAAGATACTAACAGCTTGCTGTGACACAGAACACACCGCGAAAACTCTCAACAAGAAAACCGTCTCGTGAGTAATCTTCCAGCATCCATTTTCCCTTACGAAGTCACAATAATTGTCCAAAGACATTGGCAAAACGAAGCAAGACGGACGAAAACTAAGCAGTTAGGGCTGGTGTGGGGAGCTTGGCGCTAATCCTCGGCAGAGGCGGTTCCGCCTACCGCGATGGGCATCTTCACTCGATCTCTCAGCCGCCAGGCTAAAGATCCTCAACCCGCGCAACC